TATATATATATATATATATATATATATATATATAGCAAATAGAATAGAAATCTATTATAATAATTTATTCTTTTATCTCTTGCTGTAATTATAAATATATTTTAAGCGGTTCATTCTGTTAGAAATCAAAAATAACTATTGTTAAGATGTATACAGATAAAAATTTTCCAAATTTTGATTTGGAGATTTTATTTATTTATGAAAAGTGTACCACGCTGCGGGCAATCAAAAGCAATGGACAAAGATAATATGCAAGTGGCAATTTCCGTGCGAGTTGCACTGAAGTTCAGCGTTTGTCAAACAACGCAGAATTCCGAATTCAATATAATGGAGAAATTACAAAGGAAGTCACGAAGGATAGTCTTCTTTCTGTCACGATAAACGGCGCTAGTTGGGGTTAAATTTGCGTAAAAGATCAGAAACGAGATGGTCGTTCGCTTAGACAATTTCCTCGGCCGTTTTCGAAATTTCCAGAACAGTAGAACGCGAGTAGTTCAGTCACGGCTCGGTCTTGTCCACAATGAACGCCGCATCGCCAGGCGATTTCGTTTCACGCATCGACCGGTTTCGCGATACTTTTCTATTCAGAAAGTCCTTAGACCAGATCGGGTGCAGGTGCAAGTAGAACAAGAAAGCGGGCAGGTATGCGTACGGTCGACCTGCCTATCGGTCAGCCGCGAATTCTATGTTTCCCGTTGAATCGTGAATTGATCCTCCATTTTTTCTTTTTTTTTTTTTTTTAATCGTTTCAATATGTTACGATTAAAAAAGTATTCATTCATAGATGAATGACACGACAATTGGCAGAACGCTCGAAGAAGTAAATAAACTATCGAGTTACTTATTGTTAGGAAGTCGATAGCGGTATTCTAGAGAAAATGCAAAAACTTTCCATTCAATTTAATGCAGCCATGAGTAGGCTTCAGGGAAGAATTTAATTAATTGAACTCCTAAAGACAACTCCACCATACAGGTTTCCCCTCAAATCAATTTAAATATTAGACAACTGTTGATTAAATTATGTTGTGCGAACAAAGAGAAATTTCATAAATAAATTTTACAAACGTAAGAAATTTTATGAATAGAAATTTGTCAGCACTAAAATCAATAACTTTTTCGTGATATCCTCATATTTATAATAATAAATTTATTGCTCTGTATTCAAGTTATGATATTAAAAATAAATTTAAATGAAAGTTTCTTTAATAGGGAATCAAAAAAGAATAATAAATTTGTAATTTATATTCTTTAATATATATATATATATATATATATATTATATAGTTTAGTTTAAATATTATTAAATTAATAATAATTTAATAATATTTCTAAATAAAAAAATAATAGTTAAATTATATAGTATAGTTTAAATTTTAATTTCATTCTTTCGATGTACAGAAAATTACAAATGGCCAAAATATTTTTAATAAAAGACTCTTCAATAAACAACCATAATTGCATCATACTTTGTCAAAAAATTGTCTATTCATTTACAATTTCTATTATCTATTTGTTTCACTCACAGATATTATTTATTACTCTATTTATTTATAATTTATTTCATCCAGTATCATAGCTTTTCCTCAACAACTCTCATAGGGAAATCATTCTCTGTATTTTATATTTTTTGTATTTTATATGTTTCCGTAGAATCTCATTCTCAGAATATTGAGAAATGACTTGCTGACCACAAATATTAAGAAATAGCCATATAATTATAATTTATAATTCATTTATAATCCAGATTTCATACGTCTATTGCAGCTTCTCTTCAATAACTTCAACAACTGTGAGAAAGAAAAGAAGAAGAAGATAATAGAATTACTTACATTTCCTGTATTCTTCAATTTTCATTTGCGGCCTCATTCACTGAACACGCGCGATCGATTCGAACGTAATAAAATTGAAACATGACGCAAGACTTTTCTCTCTCCTGATGATTACCAACATTTTACTCGCAGTTGCTACTTTTTCGTTTTCCTTTTCATTTCAAGTAGAATAATTGGATTCGTTTTATTAGTGTAATTCGATTCGCTCGGTACGAAGCGATTCGACAGAGTACTACACCTGAGGAAATGAATCTCTTGTTTGATGATGATAGTGGATCGTTTGTCGCGTTACCACGTAATTTATGGTTTTACCGTGCATAACAGAACGCCACGGTGAGACGACGAATAACAAAGCAGTTTGTAGAGAAAGACGCTTCAATTTCGTAACTCTTTTGTAACAGGAACTCGTGTAATTTGAAGAACCCGACTACGTTTGTACAGTTACTTTTCACCTCTATCT